GGAGAGCTTCGTGGTGGTTCTTGGGTCGTCGTCGACCCGACCATCAACCCTGAGGCCATGGAGATGTACGCTGATGTTGATGCCCGCGGTGGTGTCCTCGAGCCCGAGGGTATCATTGGTATCAAGTACCGCAAGGACAAGCAGCTCGAGACCATGGCTCGCCTGGACCCCGTCTACGCCTCTCTTAAGAAGCAGATGACTGCCGATCTGCCCAAGGAGCAGGCCGACGAGATCAAGAAGAAGATGACCATCCGCGAGAAGCAGCTCCTGCCTGTCTACTCCCAGGTTGCCATCCAATTCGCCGACCTGCACGACCGTGCTGGTCGCATGAAGGCCAAGGGTGTCATTCGTGACCAACTGGAGTGGGTGAACTCCCGTCGCTACTTCTACTGGCGTCTGCGCCGTCGTCTCAACGAGGAGTACCTCCTCAAGCGCATGTCGGCAACCGTCCTCACTTCCACCCCCGGCAATGACAAGTCCAAGGCTCCCGAGACCCGCAGCCGCAACCTCCAGCTCCTCGAGAGCTGGTCTGGTGTCGTCAACTTCTCCACTGCCGATCGTGAGGTGGCTGAGTGGTACGAGGCCAACCGCAAGTCCGTCACTGACAGAATCGAGACCGTCAAGGCCGACAACCTGGCTGCTGACCTCAGCTCTGTCTTGAGAGCCAACAAGAGCGCCGCCATGCGTGGTGTTCGCGATGTCATCCGCACGATGCCGCCTGAGGAGCGTGACCAACTCCTCAAGTACCTGCGTGATTAAACAAACATATATGGAGAGTGGTCGGCGTAACGTTTATGGGTGGTGTAAGGGTATAATTGGGGTTAGACATGTTTTTCCTGGGATGATTATGACTATGTACGAGCATTATTCCGCATTTGTGTTAAGATAGATTTCAATGTTGGGAAAATACTCCCTTTAATGAACTCCCGTCCACCATGCATGTGATTGTGAAGTTGAGTTGGGTACACTGAGTTTGAGCAGTGATCCGAGGGCTACCTATCTATCGGCTACAGCGTCGCTGGGTGACTTCTGTTGGGTTGTTTTCTTACACATCACTTGCAGAGGGAGATGTAATCTGATGCTTTAAGTACAAAGCGTGCTGAATCCTCACTCGGCATCTGTAGCCCCATCAGGATGATGTAGTACCTCTTTCTCATTAACGAATTCACACACCCTTAACATAAGGTACAGACCAGAACGAGACTCCTAACGCCCAGAAAAAACCAAAACCTTTTGATACACCCCGATCTTGATCCCCTCGAACGCTCCCTATACCCTCCTCATCTACACCTAGGTCCGCGCTCGACGCTCTCTCCTTGCCACGGTATCGGACCGCAAGGTATTTAAGCGCGCCCAGCACTGGGTCTCCTCGTACACCGCAACCCAGCCATGCCTCCAGAGCCTCCTGGATTTCCCCAACCGCAAGCGAGATTATTATCATTCGTCGCTTGCGGCCCCGTGGGCTGGAGGCTGGAGGCATGGCCACTCCCCAATCAACCGCCTATACCTTGGCGTTGGTCTACATCGCCCGGCGCTTCGTCTGGCGCTCTCCGTCCATCGACGACGGCGTATTCGCCGGCGATGTAAACGGCATGCCGCCGGGTGTCGGGGGAGGCCGGCCTGTTAGGCGAGGATCGTAGCTGTTGGAGATCGCGTCGTGCGATCTCTTTTGACCTGTGGCTGGACCGGACCCGGCGATTGTACCTCGTGCTGGGGGCATGCTAGGCATACCTGAAGCCATCTGCGGTCTCGAGGCCATCTGTGCCTGGGTCTGGTCCCAGATATTGCTGTGGAAGGAGAGCTGCGGCGGGATCCGGGGCTGCGGCGGGATCCGGGGCTGCGGCTGCGGCTGGGAGTGGAGGAACATGTTTCCAGTCGAGGCCCGGGGGAAGGGAGCAACACCAGCCGGAGCTCGGGCGGAGGCAGTACCGGCCATGGGCGAGCTCAGTCCCGCGTATTGTGACGACGCCGCCGTGTTCGCCATGTAGGCCGAGTTCATGTATCCCTGCTGAGCCAGCATGCCATTCGACGCGCGCCTGAATGTGGGTGGCGTCCGTATCTGGTGGACCACCGGGTTGGATACCACCGGGTTGGATAGATAGCCGGTCTGGGGTGGGAAGCCCTGATTTGGCATACCGTTGGGTGGCATGCCCTGAGGCAACATGCCCTGGGCCGGCATGCCGTGATATGGCGTCTGCGGGCTCTGAACGAAGTTGGGGAAGCCAGGGGGCATGTTTTGATATGCCAGGTACTGAGATGGCATACCCTGCGACCCTGTAGCCTGGGCGGACATCGCGAGAGACATCCCCTGCCCCCCGCTGTTGGGCATGTTGTTCCCCACGCCCATCGCCATGGTATTCAGGCCGGGATATGTAGGGACAGGCCTCTGAGAGACCTGAGGAGAGGCCGTATATCCATTCTGAATCGGCATGCCTCCAGCTGGCATCATTGGACGCCGCTGCTGGATATCCGGCCGTCTATGGCCTTCGAACCTCGACATGTTCATGGCAGGACGGGGGCCCTGGGATGCCGCTCTGACTGATGCCGCGTGGACGGGGGTGAGGGACTCCGTTGGCGTGGGACCGCCGTGGGGAGTCTGCGCTCGAAGCGCTCTCAGGGTCGCTTGGTTTGGCCCGCTCAAAGTAGGTCTCATGTGCTGCGGAACCGCTCGGTAGCTGGTGGGCATCTTGTTGCCCATTGCCATGGTATTCTGGGCGGGATATGTTGAAGCAGGCTTCTGAGAGGCCTCCGGGGCGGGTCTTAATTGCTGCTGCTGCTGCTGCTGCTGAGGTGGCACTTGTGCTTTGGGGATGACGGAAGTTGATTGTTCGCTCTTTGCATTAGCGGTGAATGAAGTGGAATTTCCTTCGACGGGATTCTCAGGGGTAGGTTGAGAGAGAGGGGGGCTTGGGAGGTGAACTCCTGTTGGGAGACAGATGGACTGATGATTCTCAACGAGTCTCATGTCAGGAGTCGGGGGACATGAAGGGCCGCCGAACAAGCTCTCCAGATCATCGGTTGTTGTTTCCTCTACCTCCAGCTCGGGGACGTCGACCTCGGGCTTGGGGATGCTGGCAGTCATGTTCTCGTCGATGTGCTGGAATTCTTCGGGACCGGTTGGGATTGGATGAGATCCAAGTTCTCCAATAGACACTGGTCCGATTTGCTGTAGCACTTCAAGGCCTTCATTATCGTCGTTGGAGTCGTCTGAGATGACCACGATACTAGCGTGGTGTTCACTTCCAGACTCGACTGGATTGGCCTCATTCACCAAGGCCATACTCGCCTTCTCAGCCTCCTCCTCCTTCTTCATCCATTTGCCAAGAGTCAACGAGATCTGTAGGTCCATGTACTTTCCTCTTTCGCGGATGCCACGAGACATTTCGAGATCCCAAATCTCGCACGTGGGGTTGGAGCATTTGTAGACGCCACCCTCAGTCTTGCGACGCTCTGTGTTGGCGAGCAGGCAATTTGAGAGGCCAAGGCACAGTTCGCCGGTCTGGACGTATTTGGTGCAGTGACGGACCGTGTCTCTGGGCCAGTCGCATTTGCAAATAAATTGGCCGGAAACGCACATTTTGGCGGTTGTAATGATTATTGGTGCGTGGTGGGTGTGGTGATTCGACTACCTTACTGTCGATTGCTCAAGGATCGATCAGTTGACTTGTAGTATCGTACCTATTGCCTAGAGGTTGATTATAGACAGAATTGAATCGGGCCCGCCGTCGTGAATGATTATGGGTGAAGTTTGGGTGTAAGTTATCCACAAGAATAGGTCCTGTGGTATGAGAATGGGTAGAGGGCAAGGCAGTAGAACTGTAATTAGAAGAAGAGAATAAGTTGGTTGTAAGAAGGAAGGGAAGCAGAGATCTGGGACAGAAGAGAAGGAAAAAGCTGGGAAGAAGAAGGTGAATCTCAAAGTACCGGAGATAGACTGGCTAAGATGGGAAGCCATGGAGTTGACCTTACGGCCTCAGAAGAAAAGGGGCGGCTACCTCAAGTGGGGCACCCATCTCCGATAGCGATGGTGAATGACTTGCTATACAAGGTACCGTGCGATGAGTGAATGAAGGGGTGCCGGAGATAGGTCCCGGTGGTGAATGAAGGATAGCCCTCAAGGTACCTGGAGTAAGTTCAGATGAGTTCAACCTGCTTGAGCAATTTGACGCAAGCTACCTCTATGATGTTTCTCCGATGCTCATATTGAATGTTGAAAGAGGACGAGCCAGCCAATTGCCTACCTCTTCGAACTTTCTCCCGTGTTCGCGTCAACTCGGGCCTGGTGATAAGTTTCTTTCACTAACGACTGGAAATATATACCTGTGAATCTAGTCTCTGGGCCTTGGGAACTGGACTTCTCGGAGATGGAAATGTGGGTGTCTTCGTTTTGAGGGAAGTCTTATTTGGGGCTTATATCGAGGAGTTGAGGCCATTCTTCGGCGATAGAGAAACGTGGTGGACTGCGGTACTACTTGGTGTGTGATAGACACTATCTGAGCAGTAATTTATATAAACGTAGAGTCAGAAGCTGGTTGGGAAAGATCACACTGAGAATATTCCGCTTCGCCATGAGAGCTATGAAATCAGAGGTGCTTCGAAACGACGTTGAGGGCGAAAAAAGCAAGTTGAGAGTAAGAACACTGTTATAGACAACGTTAATAGTCTATTGAGACAGTGGGGGTACTCACTCATACCGTGTATAGATACTGTGTGTTCAAATCGAGAACCGCCCGAGCAGCCAGCAAAGGTAGAATGCAAAACCAAATAGATATAACGTTGTAGCAACAAATCATTAACCATGAATACTGTTATTAAGTCCGCCACTGCTTTGTTAATCAGACCTTGCCTCGATCTCAGAGGGTCGATGTGTAGGAGACAATGAAGCTCGCCCAAAGCTCGCCCATATCATACAAAGCAATTGTCTCGTTGCAAACAAACCTATGACAATCCATACGAGGAAACTGGCAAACAGATTCGTCAATAGAGTCCACGCCTTTCTTCTAAAGTGATTGGGCCAGTGTGATGATCTCTTGTGCCGTCTCTTCAGACTTTTCGATGTTGACCCAGTGACCCGCCCCAGGAATTATGACCGACCCCATCCAGCAGTCAGACCGAACGCTCTCGCCGTTTTCCATGGCTTCAAGAGCGCCAGGAACCTGGTACGTTCCCCAATCATGTGTCCCAGAGATATACTTTGTCGGGATCGCCAGCTTTGTTCCCGCAAAACAGAGGAGGTCTGCAGACAAGGCCGGGTTGATGAGGACTTTGTACCACAACAAAGAAAGTCGGAACGTGTTTCGGGAGTATTCGTCAACATAGACCTGAAGTTCTGCATCGGTGAGCCATGATGTTTCGCTGAGTTTGGCTCGCACTTCGGCCGACTCTTGGGCCATGTCCAGTTCAATGTTTCCGCGCATCGATAGATCCGCTCTCATTACGTAGTAATGCGGCATGACTGAGATCTCTTGTGCTGTCCATGCTTCGAGGGGCCGAGGATTATTCAAACTGTAATCTGCAGACTTTAGATGGAAGTATCCCCGGAGGAACTCGTGCATCGGCTGGCCTGTGGGATGAGTCCATTCGTCGACTGCTCCTGATGAGGCATTGTAGTACTTGTAGTGCTTTCTTGGCGGGTCAAGCTTCAAGAGAGAGGATTGAATGTCATTGTCATTCTTGATCGTCTTCCCGCCATCCTCCCGTTTGGATTCAAACAAAGAAGCTAGTTGCGGTGCAGGTCCAGTTCTCAAGGGCAGCTGAGGAGATCCCTTGAACGGATGCGCCATCAAAACCAAGGACTTAATCATATCTGGCCGCGTGATGGCGCACATAGAAGCCACGAATGCCCCGAGATCGTGCCCGACGAGAGTGTGAATGCTCTCGTAACCGAGTGCATGGACTAGAGTGACCACATCCCGCAGAGCGGTCAGCGGACGGATTGTCTCTTCGCTGATCGGACTGAGATTGGCGTTGTGCGTTCGGCCAAAGCCTCTCATATCGGGAGCGACTGCGTAGTACCCCGCCGCGGCGAGCTTTGGCATGACAGCAGACCAGTCGAACGACAGGTTTGGAAAGCCGTGGAGAAGTAGGATTAGAGGCGGGGGGTCTTTAGAAGGATTATTTTTTGGGAAAGACTCGAGAATGTGGAACTTTAGCCCTATGGGCGAAGTGTCGACATAGCGAGAGGTGACGCCGGGGGGGAGATCCCACGGAGGCAATTGTGCTAGGTCCATTATCCCCAAGCAATTCGTCGACCGGCGTGAGTCAGTTTTTACGTAAAGGAGGAGCTACCAGTCAAAAAAGTTCAAAAGGCTCTGTTGTACGAACAGTCTTGCAAAGGGCAAGGGACTGAAGAGGCTTTTCAACGTTCGTTGATCTTGTTAAAGCAGTTGTTCGCGTGCCTCGGCTATTGAGGGGCTTTGGAGAACTACGTCACGGGAAATCAGCCATAGCTTATGCGGAGGAATCAAGCAGCCGATTACTCCTCAGGCGGCGCATCAACGGCGACTTTCCATCTGTCTGAATTACTCAGCTCTGACAAACTTATGCTTACTGCCATTCGGGTCATGAGGTTTAGGAACCGGAGTTACTCTGCTATTCTACCGTGAATCTGCTGAAATGAACCTCGGCACCGACTGTTCCATCTTTCATAGCGTGCGCAAAGACACCAAAGATCGGCCCTGTCATCTCTCTCTCAACCAAGTCGGCAACTTGCGCCCTTCCCACTGGATTCCAATCTTCCGAGTCGTTCTCGCGATACAAAAATGTATACTCCTGCGCATTTGCTTCCACGCGCATTCCAAGCACTGTTGTGGATGTATTGACCGGGATAGAAGTTGACTGAGTTTTGTCTTCTGATGTTGTCTTCACGTTGAACACCACTTCCGAAGACTGAAAGTCAAATGTAAGAGAAACGTGGCGCGGCGCATCCTTATACATGGCTAGTCCGGCCTCCACGGGCTCCCTTCTGAACGCATTGGAGATATCCAGACTTACTGAAGCAGATGCATCAATGGATCTTTGTCTCTTGCCAATAAACGTGCTAGTACCGGTAGGAATCGATAGGTTGTTAGCACTGCACCGGAGTACCAAATCTGTCTCGCCGCTGATGTGATACATCTCGCATTCGGGGTCGCGGATGTACACGAGATCAAGGTTTGCCGGAGTCTTGTGAATCAATGATGCGTTACCACCAACAGGGCCAGAAAGAACACGCTCAAACTCCATTGTGGGTTGTTGAATCGTTGGCCATCCGTCTTCCGGCCAATCGACTGCGGTCAGGAAAGTCTCCCGGCCAAGCGGTGGACGATCGTTTTCATTTCGTACACCAAGAACTGCTGCCCACCAAGCGCCACTCTGGTCCTGGAAGAGTTCACCATGGCCGATGTTCTGGATGTACTCGTCTGTTTTCCCATCGGCGGTCATGATAGGATTTGCATCGCAGGATTCGTAGGGGCCCCAAATATCCTTTGAGCGCCCAATACTCAACAGGTGATGCTCAAAGGTGCCACCCTCAGCGACAAGGAGATAATAAGAGCCTCCTCGCTTGTATATATGAGGGCCCTCGGTATCGTAGCGCGCGAAGCCGCCCCATATCTCTCGGGCTTCAGTCAGAGCCTTGCCTGTTGCAATATCCATCTCGAATTGCTTGATCGTGCAGCTGGGCTGTTTGAGACGGTCTATCATCCAGCATCCCTGTACATAGACACGGCCGTCGTCGTCAAAATACAGACTCGGGTCGATACCATTGAAAGAAAAATGAATTGGATCGGTCCAATTGCCTGACCAGATATCGGTAGTGGTGATGTAGAAGTTGTCCAAGGAGAAGGTATGTTCATCGTGCGTCGTATTCGTGCAAACAATGTAGAAAGTGCCTTTGTAATAGCGTATGGTTGGTGCAAAGAGGCCGGCGCTGGCGACCATGATATTCCCCGTATCGAGAGGCATCACTGCTGTGCTCGCATGATTGAGTGAGATTTGTTCCTTGCGATTGATGGCATTGCCTTGCCGTGTGTCAGTACGTGTACTCATTAAGCTGGACTCTGGCTGGTTGGCCTACCAATATGCCTCCAGCCTTGAAGATCTGTTGAGGCGTAGATGGGCAGACCCGGAAATATGTGGAAAGATGAAGTTACCAGAAAGAAGACACCATCAACGAAGACGACCGAGGGATCTGGTGCGAATCCAGGCACGATTGGGTTGCAGTAAGTGCGCTTCATCGCCATCGTTGCAACTGAGCCCAGGATGAATCGGATTACTGACAACTGAAGTCGGGACGGGAATAAAGCAAACACATGTTCACAGTCTCGAAACCTCAAGTTTATAGCCACGTGCCTTTCCGATGTGGAAACATCTGATCAGCGTCTGGGGATCTGGGCCCGACATGGAGAAGTGGGCCAATTCGCCGCGGGGAATCGCAAACCACATCATTGCCCCGATCCGAATTGCCGACGAACGCCCTTCCCATATCATGACTCGCGATCATTGCTCAGCTCGTCTGATATTCTTGAATTTAGCCGGGCTAGAATGTCCAACAGCGTGCTAAAGAGGGATCCGGCACGAGTGGATATGGCCTCGTTGTTAACATTGTGCATGATTTCGAGCAGAGCCACGCCGACTTGTCGAAGCTTTTCAACCTGTTCAAGAGTCAGCCGTTTAGTCTTCCCTAACTTGAGTCTCAGGAGAGCTGTCCTTACACAAGGTTCTCCGTTGGCTTGTAAGGCTTCAAAGGGGATCTCTGACACTGCCTCCAAGAGATCGCTCGCTATCTCGACTTTGCGCATAGCAAGCATCACTGGATCGTCTGTTAGCCCGAGAATCTCGATGAAGCCGCGTTCGAAGAAGCGATTGACAAGGACTAGTCGCAGCGTATGAAAGGTGACAAATAAGTTGGCTTTCTGAATTGATATTGCCCTGATTCGAAACTGAGCCATGGCCTCGTTGGGTGTTCCCGAGACGGCATTTTTGGGATCACGAACCCAGGGTGGACAGTTGCGGAGAATACTGGTGAAGTCGAAGTATAATTGCATGGTAGATTTCTTCAAGTCTGATGCATCGTTCGAGGTGACCGAGCGCAGCGATCCAGTTTTACCATGTAGTCGTGATAGGAAGTTCAAGTCGACGAGCATCTCAGAAGCCGTATACCAAAGTTGGAAGCACAAGTTGAAACCCAGACGCAAACGGTGCTCAAAATCTGCAGTGTCGGGTTCCGGTCTAGCCTGAATGAGTTTGTAATCCTCAGTTTCCTCGAATATAGTAGTGATGGGAGTGTCGAAACAGATCTGATGAAGCGAGATGGGGACTTTGTTCAGAATTGAGGCGGACTTGTCCCCAATGTAGAGATGCCAAAAGGTGTTTCTTCTCAACTGAGCCTCGGGCCACTCGAGGTTTCGAAAAGATTCCTCGTCATACAATCGCATCTCCTGCACGAGTCGTAGTGCCTCTCCCATCGCATGCCACGACACACTGGTCTTTCCGAGGGCATGTAAGGCATTGGAGTGGAAGTAACGGATGACGATTGAGCTCGACTCCGGGTGCTCAATGTCATAGTCTTGATACAGTCGAAGAGCCTCTCGCGACGTTCTGAGGAACGGCATCGCGAGTGCTGCGCCACCGGGAAATATCTCGACTGGCAGAGTAGAGGAGACCACTGCGCAGAGGGCCGTAAGGAGCGCAAAGGCCCGGATGGTTGGAATGTCTGGGTTGGAGTGGCTCGTTGCCGGGTCGCTGGTTAACGAAATTTCCCTCCGGAGAATTGGAACCACAGCATGCATCATTTGCCGAACTATTGGTTCGCAAATGATGGGGCTGGTCGGGAACTCCCACTGCATGTAAAGATCAATGCAGGAAGATAGGACGTCTTCTAGTGGGACATATGGCAGAGCTTTCCCCAGAGCTGAGAGAAGTTCGCCAATGGCTGCGTCGAATGGAGCATGAGCGGAATTCCTCTGTTGGGTAGGGCTATTGAGAGGTTGATTGTCGTTTGATAGACCGGCAACAAAGGAGTCTATAACTTGAGAATTTCCTGAAATAGACTCTTTGCCACTCGGCCGGTTGTATTTCGTTTGAGCTGTGGTCTGATCCGATCTTTGAGCTCGAAATGGTGGCCCCCGTTTCTTCGCTGGGACGGTGTATTCGCAAGTCATGGATGACATTAGACAATTTGAGCATTGCGGGCTCTGCGCATCGCACTGTAAGATGTCGCATTTAGCCTGCGGTGGTCGGCAAGTTGCACTTGAGTCTGGTTTGCCCTACCTTGACCTTCCGCCGCCTACATCCATCGCAGGATCGTTTCGTCATTGAACTAAGCTGTCGCGTACAGAAATCCAAGCGCTTCGCAGAGTCGTCTTTGGCAATTCTCCGATGTGTCGAGTAAAGTGTGGGAAAGGGAAGAGTTGCTAGACCAATGCGTTCCGTGACCAGGATGTGGGCAGAGACCAACACTAAATAATCCGCCGCGGCGAATTAGCTTGACCATTCACAGCCATTCCAGACGATGGGTCTGCGGGGGTAGCATTGTGTTGTGGAGTAAGAAACTCTCAGGTGGCGTAACCCACGGGGAAACATGTGGTTTTGGTGTCCGCCATCTGGGCACAGGAGTAACCCCGGATCGAAGAGTGGTTTTGACTGAATACTGGACCTATAAGTAATCGAGGCTTTTCCTGATGGCTTCAGTGTCTTTCTCGTTAACCCCAGGGCAACTCAGGGAAGACATTGCTTATTCACGCGGGTCTCAAGACTCTTCTGATATCTCAGACTTCCTCTCGAGGAACTTGTTAGCACCTTTTGCGACTTGGAGACGAATTGAACATAGAAAAATGGCAGGAGTTTCAGAGAAGCCCGCAGGCTTTGCTGAGCTGTCCAAGAACAAGAGAGTCTTGGCTTGGTGTAAGCATTGCCTACGACTGACCAACTTGGTCAGCAGAAATCGAGTCTGACCGCGTTCCGTTAACAGGCCTCCTAATCTTCATTCTACCCATCAACTTCGGATACGAGCTTGCACTAGTTGGCAACATACTTGCAATCCCTGCCTTCCTCGACCGCTTCGGGACGACCACGACCTCCGGCATCAAGGAGGTTCCGACCCAAGATCAGCAAATCCTCAATGCCTCAACTACTGTCGGTATTGTGCTAGCCGCATATTGCACTGGGTTCATCTCGGACATTATCGGCCGCCGCATGGTGGTTATATGTGGCTGCGTTCTTTGCATTGCTGGGATTATCGTACAAGGCT